AACTGACTGAGACCATACGTGACGGACTATATTAATTAATGGAGGGTTACTTCCGCATGATAGTTACTGGAGGATTACTCCAAAAGTGCGAACTGCTTAACGCCCCCAAGGGGTTTGGTGACGCGTTGTGTCTTAGTTGAATGTTGTTAAAAAATGTCTGTTTACACCACGATACAAACCTCGACCGAGCAACAGATTTATGAAACATAATTGTTTCCTTATTTTCTTCTGTTTTGAAACAGATTTATGAAACATAATTGTTTCCTTATTTAATATTGTTTTTCTTTTCTTTTTGACAGTGTTGACAGTAATTTCACGGAGACGTGATGAATTGCATTTGGACTTTAAAAATATGAAGGACATGTTTAAATAAACGTATCTAAATATCCCCGTCAAATGTACTTTCTATTCTTCTCCGTGTTTTATGAAGCTTCACAAATTATTTCATTGATTTGGTCGTCAGACGCGTCACCAAATCTCACCATGTTATTACTATTGAAAATAACTGAAAGCAATGTTAAAATCAAAGAGGTTTTATTATACTACGCGGTATATTGCACATAGCGGTTGATACATACCGCCTCCTAAGATAAATGAGTCGGAGCTTATGATTGACCTGTAGGTAGGAAAGGTAAGAAATCTGATAGAAAAAGCGATAAAGTTTTTGAGATACACCGGCCCTGATTGGGATGTATTATGTGTATAGTTAATACTATTGATTTTAATTCCACGAGTGGAATGGTCACCGTTAATCACGGACACTGCATAGGATTGATTGACTGTGTGCCCAGATGTGAACTGCAAAGTTAGGCGAATTGTCAGTCTGCAGCTTCACAAAATTACTGGCGAACGTATCAGTCCAAACTGCGCGCCCACAAAAAAATCAATAAACTCAACATTTTAAAGTACGAAAACTTGGTTGCAAAACGCAGTTAGCATGTGCCATGATATTAAGGAAAGAATCTGCAAGAAGCTGTAATTTATTGTATGTGGCTTTCTAAAGCAGAAGACATTCTTTCTCATTAAAGACTTGCAACAAAAAAAAAACACCAAGCATTTCAGGAATTTTGTTAATTTCTATAAGCCTTGGTTCGTGTTCAGCCTTCATTGTTTCGCCGCTGCATACCATTGTTATAATTTATTACAAAATGCATTTTAAGTAGATTTACACTGAAGAGCAAAACAAATTGGTACACCTGCCTAATATAGTGTAGAACCTCCGCGAGAACGCAAAGTGCCGCAACACGACGTGGCATAGGGTCGACTAATGTCTGAAGTAGTGCCGGAGGTAATTGACACCGTGTATCCTGCAGAGCTGTCCATAAACTCATAAGAGTACGAGAGAGTGGAGATCTCTTCTGAACAGCACGTTACGAGGCTTCACTGATATGCTCAATAATGTCTGGGGATTTTGGTGGCCAGTGGAAGTGTTTAAATTCAGAAGAGTGTTCCTGGGCGCAGATCTGGACGTGTGGGCTATCGGATTTTCCGGCTGGAATGACCCAAGATCGTCGGGATTCGCAATGGACATGAATGGGTGCAAAAAAGTGTGTTAAGACAGGATGCTAACGTTCGTATCACTTGCGTGAGTCGTATCTAGCGGTATCTAGAGACCCATATCATTCCAACTGCATACGCCCCATACCATCACAGAGCCTTCACCATCTTAAACAGTCACCTGTTGACATGCAAGATCCATGGATTCATGAGGTCATCGCCATACTCGTATACATCCATCCGCTCGAAACAATGTGAATTGAGACTCGTCAGACCTGGCAACATGTTTCCAGTCATCAACAGTCCAATGTCGGTGTTGAAGAGGCGGGCCCAAGCTTTGTGTCACGTGTAATGATTCTCCTCAGTTGCCATCTTTCCCGTTCTTGCATGATCTTTTTGCGGCCGCAGCGATGCCGGAGGTTTGATGTTTTACCGGATTCCCGATATTCACGATACACTCGTGAAATGGTCGTACGGGAAAATCCAAATTTCGCCGCGACCTCGAAGATGCTGTATCCCATCTCTCTTGCGCCGACTATAACACCACGTTCAAACAGTGCTGCCATTGTAGCAGCACTAACAACTGTGCCAGACTGGTTGTTTTATATAGTCTTATATAGTCGTTGCCGACCGGAGCGCCGTATTATGATTGGTTTCAGATCTCTTTATTTCAATACGTACGGCTGTACCAGTTTTCTTGGTTCTTCGATGCAATAGACTTAATTATTAATTTATGCACAAAACACTTGATACTCTTGAAGTAGGTACTCTAGTACACGTCGGCTAGCGAGGTTTTCACCCAACCCGGTACCTTCCACCAGCGGGACACCGCCCCAGCTGAGACAAGCTCTAAGCGCCCGACCGACCTCCCAGTATGTGAGTGGGTGTAAGTAAGGAATGAGGAAAGGATAAGGAAGAGGAAGGAAAGATCGTGCGTGGTCCGTGGCCCGTGTGTTAGGGTTCTGCTTCAGCATTCGTCTAGTGTGGGACTGTAGCAGTCCCGCGCTTCCTGTCGCCTATGTAGAACACAACACGCTTTGTCCCGCGGAATATAACACCAAACTTAAAACTGAAGTAAACAATCGCGCGCCGCCGCCACCATTGTAGCCCGAGCAGGACACGACCTTTGTTTCCGCAGTGAAACTGAGTGACTTAAGGACGGTCAACATTAAGTTCCCCATTCCAGTCCGCTACCTATACCTCAGGGGAGACTTCTTCGATTATGATGTTTGGCCGACGCCTCTTTTTTTTCAAGTTGCTTGATGATGGAATGTGTGGCACTGAGTTGATATATTCTTTTCCAGGAGGGAATTAATGTCCTAAGGAGGGACGTCGTATTTCCTATGTTCACTGTAGCTGTTGGTGTATCGGACTGTTATACCCAAGTTGGCGGGTTCAAACCTGATCGAAGCCGAGGATTTTTAAGGGCGACAAAATCCTCCGTACACCTTTCTTCGGAAGGGAAGTAAAGCCGGCTGTCCTGTTTTAGTATATTTACTTGCATGTAAAATATCCTCAATCCTAAATGACGCCTCTGAGCTAAATTCAAATCGTCTGTTTCGTCACCCAAGAAATACCTCCTTACTTCGCCAGTTGGTGAAAGGAGCGTAGCGAAATTTGCGTGCAGACGAAGCTGGCCCGATGGCCCAAGTCACGCCACGTAAAATAAGGCATCAGTTCAATTCTCATGCTTATTTGTAATGTAAGTGAAACGGGACTAGTGACTTAAGTTCACTATGACCGAGGAGAGTTCACTACATCCGGGTTCACTATAGAGTTGAGTGCATTTCTCTATGCAGTTTTTCTTTAAATTTTAGATATTGTCTTGTACACTTGTTTAATATTCGTAGTTGAGTATTTTTGGTAGAAATCTTGACATTTTTTGTCGAACATTTCTCGTAAGGTACACCTGGGTATGTGGAACATACCGTGTTGTTGGTGCATAGGTGGATTGAACATGAACTAATAGTACTAAATAACTATAAAATCTTGTGAGTAGTATTCCATGCAATCATTTTAGTGTCTTGGTATCCCTATCTGTACATAACGCTTAATGGCAATATATTCAGAATACTATCCAGTAGAGTGAAGAATTGTTACAATTAGCACGTTCAGTATTATTTGCAATTAACACTAAGGGGAGGAAAATTTTTGGTATGGGGCCGTCTATAAATTACGTAAAACAAATTTGGAGTATTTTCAATACCCTCTCTCCCCCCTGTAACGCACCCATAACGCGTGCTTGAACCCCTCTAAATAGTTACGTAACGTTTGCGTACCCCCTCGTAAATGCAAGAAGTGAAAATAGATTATAGCGCAGTAAAACAATATGTATTTATTTCACTTGTATTGTCTATTAAAGAAATTAATTATAATATATTAAAGTATAAATTAGTTGGCAATGCTGGCTGTACCCAACAATAAGATTGAGGCAAGTTGCGAGTGAAGGAAGAATGCTTGGGCGAGAAATGGTTGATCACAAGCAATGCACACGCCGTGGTGGATGATGCTAGAGCGAGAGTCTACAGCGCCAATTTAAATGGATTCTAGAATATCATTCATATCAGTATGGAATATTTTTTGTTAATCTTACAGATTTAAAAAAAATCCATTTATTGTGACTATTTACAACTAATAAGTTTGGTTTATTAATGTTTTTAAAACAAATTAGTTAATATTTTAATGTTTTAGTACCGGCCTAAAACAAACGTTTCAGCAAATGTCGAAAAAAAATCAATTTTACGTAACACTTAACATCCCCTTACCCATATGAAACGCAGCGTTACGCTGTCTGGCACCCTCCCCCCTCTTTGGCGTACGTAATTTATGGACGAACGTATGCCGCACAATCCCAGGGTGTCAAAGAATTCTTTTTCCTTTCGCTGCTGCAGCACTCGGAAGCTCGATGGGTTATATCGGACACGTTATCTCTGTTTGCGGTCTTGGCAAAGAAACCTACTCTGAGAGGAGCTACTTGAGGTATACTCTAGAGTCATGATAGACCTTACTTGTAATACTCTCTGAGTCTTACATCTATGGATCGCACTCGCAAGCGAAACATTAAAAGAGCGGTCAGATCGTTTGATGCCAGCCGTGCGATTGGAGTGTGAAGTAAATGAACTGTTATCATGGCAGATAGCTGCTGTCAAAAGTTTCTTTTTGACATTTTATTAGTATTTGCTCGTTCTCAGAATTTTCTCATGGGGAAATGCTTGTAGAATCTTTTATTTTGGTATAATTTTAAAACAAAAATTGGGAGGCATTCAAGTAAACCTGCCGCAAACCCATTATGATCCCCTTACAAATTCTTCATGGATTGAACAGGGATCAAACCCTGACACAAGTGGTGGAGGGCAATTTGACCACTACAATAAGGATTGCCTAATTCTGTCGTAAAGACTTTGAAAACCATTGAATTTAAGGTTGGATGAATCAAATCATGTATTTTTTTTAAATTTGAAGAGTAAATCAGCGTCACCTAGTGAGCAACACTGTGAAGTGCAATGACAAATCACACTCTTGTGGGTAACAGAGACATGACAACTCCTCTAGTCGAAGTAATGTGTTTTAAAGAGGCTCCTCATTTTTATTTTTCTGATTTCCTATTTCTTTTCTATAAAGTCACTGTCCCAGTGAGATACCTTCTGCCTTTTTAAATATAACTCAGAATTAAACAATATTTAATTTTTTTATGACAATATAACTGTCTTGTATATTATTTAAATCTTTAATTTACATCCGTTGGTTGTTTTAAAGACAGTCAACTGTGTCTTTCAATAGTGCATTACTACAACTTGTTAAAGTTCTATCTCAATTCATATTCAGAACTTCAAAAACATTTTTTTTATTGCTTCACATAAAAGCACAATGTTTCAGGAACACTTCTTCAGGTATCTAATATTAGATTGAGTTAAAGACTATTATTAATATTCTTATAATTAAAATATTTTGTAACATTATTTTTCAATAAAATGTGTGTACTAAATCAAGAACACAAGGTTAATCTTGATATTCATAAAACATAACTTTACATTAGCGACATAGTCAAATTTCAAAAGATTTTAAGTTGGCTTCATTGGCTGAAGAATTTCACGTGTTCTTGTTCACTTATGCGCTTTGCCCTCAAATTGATGGGGCCATCTCAATTTCTCACCTGAGATAAAATATGGATCAGCAGTGAGATTTTTTAAAGACTAGATAATTAAAAGAAAATATGCTGCTGCTTCTGTCTGTACTTATTCTATTCATTCAACAGTTGAGGAATATTGTAATTAGTTTACAAAAACTTGTAAGACAATTGTTCCTTGTTAATTATGATACTTTGTTGTTACAGCTGTCAGGTATTGTAATTCTGGCTGTAGGAGTATGGATGCAGGTGGAGTTATATAAATACATGGAACTATCAACTGAATTCTCGTCGACAGCGCCCTATGTCCTCATTGCAACAGGTGCTCTCATTGTGGTTGTGGGCTTTCTGGCTTGCTGCTGCACAGTCAAAGGACAACCTGTATTATTGTACATTGTGAGTATAAAGATTTTAAGAATTGGCCAGGAGCTAGAACTCTTACTTGATACTTGTGTGTATGGAAAGTAGAACCTTTACTATTGATAAGTAGTAATTTAATTAGTGCTTCAAAATTTGCTTAAATACATTCTTGTACTAATTTTATATAAACTAACTTTTCAGATCAATATGATTCAGGAGTCGCTAAAGATTAACTGAAAGTATTAAAAATGTTTTCAGTGTTATGAATTTCACTGAAAAATCAATTTCAGTATATATTTCCTGCAAGCTGAGCAGTTTTATAAAATATTAGTCAATTCTATGTTGTGCATAGCATTTTGATTTATTCTATCAATCCAAACATGTCAATTTTGACATTATGAATTAACAATACTTTTGTGTTGTTTCAGTATGGAGCTTTTCTGATGATAATCTTTGTTTTGGAGCTTGGAGCGGGAATATCTATGTATGCATATCGTGATAAGCTCATTGAAGGGTTCGATAATGGTCTGAATCAGAGCATTCTTATATATCCTTCAGATCCAGAAAAGAAAAACAGTATTGATCTCACACAGTCTACAGTAAGTTTTTTCGTATCAATATAATTAAAAGGGAAAGTATTAACAATGAAGGTTAGGGAAAAGTACTAACAATGTTTTCAAAGTTTGTAACTTCAATTAAAATAAACAAAAATACATTTTAATCAAAACAAACATTTATTTCCTTCATCTACTTTCAATTTTATGTACTTCAAATGGTGTGTACTGATGATATTAGTGGTTTACGTTAGAAGGGCACATAACTATGGGGATGACATTCAGGTGACAAGGGATGCCATTCAGCTTACTACATATGTGAAAAAGGTGAATGACAATATTATTTTTAATTATGAAAATAAAATCTTTTAAAAAAATGGAATAATAACATTATTTCAATGAAAAATAAACTTTAAAAAATGTGTAAAATGTATAATATTACTATTGTCCTATTGTGTAGCAATTTTTTCAGTATGTCTTGAAAACAAATAATACTGTCAATGGATATTGAATCAGGAAATTATTTTTTTTCATACTCCTTTCATTATATGCACAACTTAACAGAAATTGCAGATAAGAAAAGACATACTTCATGAATTGGATACGAATTCAATAAACAATTGGTGTGAAATTGATACACTTTTTAGTCAAATGAAGATTGTTCAAATTAGGCTTCACATTTTGTTTAAATTCAATGGTGAAGCCATCATCTTTACAATAAGTGTTGTGAACAAATTTGCTTGTCAATTAAATCACATTTTGACAAATGTACTTAAAGAAATTATAATTTAAGTGTATTTTCATAAATACAGATGCATATTACTGGGATAGGGAGGTAAATTGAGTGAATGTCATATTACCTAGTATCTCATCTGAGTAACATTAAATATAAGATGACCTGCCTGTATTAATGATGCTTTAAGTAGCATAATTTCTACAATCAATTTTTTCCATAAAATATCATGAGATAACATTCTTTATGAAATAAAGTGTAAGATGAAGTATATAAGTCATCTTAAATTTTTCTTTTTCTTTGAGATTGTTTCAATAATTTTGTTAAACATCTTATTTACCCAAGACCAGGCATGTAGCAAGGAAGAAAGTTGGGCGGGTTGAATACTTTCAAAAATGAAATCATATTTAAGTTTTACTAATAATGTTTTTCAGCTGCTGCAGCTATTAGCAAACTAATTATAATATAATAAGATCTTATTATTATTCATTCTGGAGGAGAGGAAGAACATGTCACAACAGAAGAAACTTTAATAGTAAATAAGAAATGGAAAGATTTCGTAGATGAACATGACTGGATAATCCCAAGACTAATAACAATGAAACTAAAAGGAACAAACAAAAAATGAATATAAGAGGAGTATATGCAGTTGAAGGATGGGCAGTAGAATCTGAGAGTTTGTATACAAATCTACAACTTGTAAACCTAGTAAGTAAAGATGAGCTCCTTGTTATATTAGGAGACTCTTATGCCAGAATTGGTGACAGAGAAATACCTCCATACAAAGGCTCGGAAGGGGAAAAAGCAATAAACGAAAATGGGAAAATGCTACTTAACTTTTGCCTATTCAACTACTTAAAAATAACAAATAGTTAACATAAGGAAAACCACAAATTCACTTGGAAAGAAAGAGACACCCGATCCATCCTAGATTATGTCAGGAGAAACTTATTTAACTATGTCAGGAACACATACACAAGTATTTTGAGGATGTAAAATAGACACAGACCACTACTTGGTAGAGAGCTAAACTAAACTCACAGTACAACAAATAAAAACTCGGGAATAATAAACACCACCTTAACTCAAGGTTTTCCTTCTAGAAGATGAAAGTATCAGAATGTTATATGAAAGAAGACAGAGAGAAAAACTACAGAAGGTAGAGAAACAAAATATTGAGACATTTTGGAGTTCACTTAAACAATTATTGAAACAGGAAAAGAGAGTGTAGGCTACATCATTCAAGATAACCAAATGGTTGAGAACAGGGAACAATGATCTAAAAGAGATGATAAACCAAAAGAAGAAAGCATACAAAAACTACCTCCAAACATGAACTGATAAACAACATGGAATATAAAAGACTATGGGCCAACGGGAGATGCGTCAGTCACATAGGTCACACAGGAGAGAAGACCGGAAACAATTTGTTAAAAGCATAGAAAGAGATGACTCAGACTCTCAATGAATGGGCTTCAAAGTTTTAAAACTATTGCCCATGAAAGTGAAAGATAAAATCAGAGTAGATGGCATATCAAAAGAAAATTGGATAAAACACTACTTCATTCTTTGGTACAATCCAACTCTCAGATCTAATGAAATACTAGAAGAAACAAGCCACATTACTGACAATGATGAACTAGACACCTCACAGAATTTAGAAAAACTCAAGACAGTAATAAGAAAAGCAAAAAATATGAAAAACCGTGAACCGGATGAAGTCAATAAAGAAGTCATAAGTTACGGAGGAAAAGAGCTGAAAGAAATGTTATTAGAATTTTTTGCAGAGTATGGCAAGAGAAAATTTTAATAGAATGGCAAGCATGCTGAGGAATAGATTCAATAAAACATGTGAAAATTTCATGGGAAAAGAACAATGTGTATTCTGAAAGGGTAGAAGCACTAAAAACTCCATCTTTATACATCACAGATGTTAATAGACAAAAGAAGGAAAAGGAATCTACCAACTTCTATAATATTTTTTGCTTATGAAAAGGTTAACAGACTGAAACTCTCGGAAATACTAGAAGGGGAAAAAGTTCCAAATCAGTTGCCCAATGTGATATAAAGTCTATACAAGAACTCAAGAATTAAAATCTGTTGCAAGAGGGAAGAAAGTTTGGCAGCAGTAACAAGTAAGAGTGACTTGGCAAAGATGTGGATTATTACCCACCCTCTTCAATGTTATTGTATTAACCACTTAGTGAGAAATTGGAGAAGGAAAGTTAGACATGGAATACACATCATAGAAGACAAGAAGATATATACTATCTTGTTAGTTATAGTAAATAGTAGAACTTAGCTTTTTAAATTTTTAAAAATCACATTATGAAAACAATACTATAGCATTTTATAGCACTATAAAAATTAAGATTTATCTTTTTGTATCATTTGTTTAGAAAATTATTGTTAAGGGAGGTGTTTGAGATAAAAATGTATTTTGATGTTTTTTTGGTTTTCCATTAAAATCAGTAAATAAGGGAAACTAATTTAATATTTTGCCATTTATGAACTTCAACAAATATTTATCAAAGTAATTTTAAATCCTTAGGTGTCTAATATAAAATATCTAAGTGTTGTTGTCGATGTTGCATTGCTAGTTAGCTAACACAAAGGAAACCATAAAATGCAATGTGGCAATTATATTGCAGATTTATGACCATTTCACGCTCTGTGATTTTGCATTGTATGATTGAGTTTGCATTTTATTGTCGATTGAAAAACTTCAGAAATATACTGCATCGACCGTCAAACATACAATTATTAATTTTTCTCAGCGTTTGGTAACATTTTGCATTTTTAGCAATTGCTAAAATGTACCATATCTAAATCTTGTTTGCTAGTGACCACAGAAGGGTAGTGGATTCTAAAGGTAATTTACAAAAGGCTGTTTTTGAATTGGCGAAAGTGACCCAAGAAGATTCTATGGGATTCACACTTTTGAAAAAAGTTCATCTATGGGATTCAAAGTTTCAAAGTTCAGAAAACAAAAGTTATGGCAATACAAGGCAAAAAACCAAGAGCCAAAATAGTAATAAATGGAAAATTAGTGAAACAAGTAAATACATTTTCATACCTTGGAAATATCATAAATGTTTACAACCAAACTCAGGAAGACATAGAAAACAAACTTCATAGCTACAATAGAATATGTGGAACAATTAAGAGACACTTTGACAGTGACATGGACCCAGAAACAAAACTGAAACTTCACTTTAAAACTGTTAAACTTAGAATCATGTATGGCTCTGAAACATGGGTAATGAAAGAAGCAGACAAGCAAAACTACAGGTGGCACATATGAGATTTCTAAGGCACCTCATGGGAATCACAAGAAGAAAGAGACTGAGAAATAAAACATCAGAAAGAAATTGAAAACCAAAGGTTTAGTGGAAGAGATAGAACAGTCTCTAAGGAGATGGAAAGCTCATTTACCGAGAATGAACAAAAAGGCATTGCCAACATTAATCTGGAAGTACAAACCAATTGGTATAGGAGATAGATACAGTCCGTTAAAAGAGGTGGCAACTGCAGGAACACTTGGATGACTAATAATACCAAGAATACTGCAATGAACCAATAGAAACAGGCTTTAGAGCATAGTTTTTGGTCAGTTCATGATGATAATGATGATGCCAAAAGTACCATAAGTAATTATCAAGGAAATCCATTTCTCATGGATTTATCAAGGCTTCATCATTGGATTGTCATCAATAAGTTAAATGTATCTGATAATGCCATTTTTTCTTATTTTAATATTTAGGATCTTCTTTAGCAACTCGGAAACAGTTATGTGTTGTTATGTCTTTGTATGAGATGTAGTGGGCCATTATGTGGGAAAATTATATTGCTAGTTAATTGAAATCTCTTTTTACTTTAAGCAAAGATGTTCAAATATTATTGAATGGTGTTTATGAAATATTTTCAAAAAGATAATGAGACAGAAAGGTTCAAGAACAAAAATTATCATTATTGTTAAGGTAGTATTTATTATTTTTTATGTTTCTTAAAAAAAAAAATTGTGTATTTTGCAGCTTCATTGCTGTGGAAATAAGAGCCCTTATGATTGGCCAGATGAAATACCTCCATCATGCTGCAAAGTGACTCCATGCGATACCAAGGATCATACACAAATATACAGCAAGGTGAATATTTCTGCTTGCTTTAATTTCCTATGTCCTTTCCTTTAATTTGCAAGCATCTTTTTTGTTCATTTTCATACTTGAATATACATTTTTGGATAATGTACTTGTACATTTGTAGATAATGCAATATGAAAGGATAACATTACATCACATTTGCCGATGATATAAATATTGTTTATCATGTTAATTATCTTACAAATGATGCTTTTACATAGAACTGAGTTCCTATTTCTAATAGTTTCTAATAAGTTCATTTATTTAGTAGCACCTATTCAACATGTTTTTGAAATCAGAATAAACGCTCAATCTGTTTATATGTGGATTCTTAAGTCTATTTATAGGCCACTTATTTTTTGTCTGATTTCTTGTCATATGATTTTTTTCTCATGTACACTGTATTCTATTCATACTGTATATGTAAATTGACAACTTTTATTGGAATCTAATTTTCTAAATAAGCAGAATCTCAGAATAAATGTTACAAACTTCTATGTCATATGTCATGTAGGATTGATGATCACTTTTTACCATTGAACTTGTGGTAGGAAATTTCATGTAAAAGTTTTCACACGTAATATTTAATGATTAGATACTCCCCATAACGACTACTAGTGTTCAGCAGTTCACTTTCTTATGCAGTCAAAGAGATTTTGTGTACCTGGCAAACACTGTGTGTAAGGAGTTGCATAACAATCAGGGGGCAAATTTCACATTACCACTTTTGTTATATGAAATTTCTCACCACGTATTTGTGGGCAAAAAGTAGTCATACTTGATCCCCCTGTATGCCAGGGTTGTAATATTTATTCTGAGACACCTATATTTCCAGGTTTTGGTTATAGTAAAATTGTTCTATTGATTAATGGAGTATCTGTTATTCAATGATTTGTGTTTCTCCTGGCCCTACTTATTGTTCACTCAGTCAGCAAAAAATGGAAATTGTAGCTGTTGTTATTTTCCTTTGAGTGATGCAGCATAGTGATTGTGCAGCATTAGGTCAAAGTATGCGCGTCATCTGCATAAATTATTGGGGGGGTAAATCCTGTTTGATCCAAAGTCCCTAACAGCAAAAAATCTCTGGTTTATTGTGGAGCATCCAATCAACAGAATTGTTTTGTGAGGTACTACTAACATACATATCTCGCATATGGTTGACATATGACTCCCCATCTCCATTTGTTGTGATTGAGAGAACATTAGTGCATAGGTAGACTATGTGAAGGAAGTTCTGGTACGATATGCCTTTCCCCTCCTAAGGCAGCATCAAAGCCTCATGTTCCAGCAGGATAATGCTTGCCCTCATATGGTACAAGTGAATCACAACTGTTTTACTGATGTCCTTGGCCTGTAGGTTGTCTTAGGGGTGTCCATAAATTACACAATGCAGATCTAGAGTGTTTTGTATATCCCCTCTCCCTCCTGTAAATTCACCAGTAATGTGGGTTGGAAGCCCCCTAAATCATTGCATAATGCTAGTCATACTCCGCCCCCCCCCCCCCATTTGCAGTAAATAAAAATAAATAATATAACAGTTAAATCAATTTGTATTAATTTTGTTGGTGTGATATATTAAAATTTATAATTGAAGTCAGAATTAGTTGGTGATGTGGGGTGCACCTAACAATTGTGGGGACAGTGTTTAAGTGAAGGAAGGACACATAGGTGAGAAAATTTAAGTTAAATATAATACTAAATAAAATAAATTATTTCAGAAAATGTTGAATAAAGAAAGGAAAAAAGGTCAGCATTACATAACACTAAACTGCCCCTGTGTAATTCAGCATAACCCTACCTCATACCTCCCTTCCCTCTAGCATTAAGAAATGTAAGGATGATTAACTTTCTTGGCTGGCAAGGTCCTGGACCTGCCACCAAGCACATATTTCTGGGACCAATTGTGGCTGCATCAACTACTATAGGCAACATCCAGTAGGTAGGATCTGGAGAGTCAGTTGCAGCAATGGTTGCATGATTTTCTTCAGGGTAACATTATACTTCTCTAAGACTCCACGCTTGCACATAACAGTGTGTGTGTTTGTTACTAGAGGCAGCATGACACCCTATTAATTGTATAATTGCCATGTATTATCCCCTTCAGTAATTACCATGTTTGTACCTCTTGGGTGGCTCATAAACAGCATGCTAGCTTTCCATGGTGCAATCCTGGGTTTAATTCCAGGATGGGACAAAAATAGAGCTGTAGCTTTCCAATAAAATTGTCTCAGTTTCTGCAGCTGTGTAATGAAGAAAAGCTCAGGTGGACAGAGTTTGTTAGAAATGGTAAAGAGAATACATCATGCTTGCCACATGTCTCTTACTCCCAAGTGTGGAAATTAAACTAAGGGACACTGTTAGCTAGCTGGCAATTTCAGACAATCAACCCAAATATCAAATACATACATACAATGTATTAATATAATAAATGGATGTTATGATGTGGTTTTGTTATCACATCAATCTAAATTATAGCATTGCAAACATCTAAATGCTAGCATGCCTTGTTCAATTTCAGAAAGATTTCAGTATGATTGGATATCACAGACTGGAGAGCAAGATTAGGGAAAATACTAGACCCGGAGCCTTGATGTTATCAGTTCTGCTGATCACAAGCAGCTCTTCTTCTACTTGCTCAAGCGACTTTGTGTTGTTAGCTTGCTCAAGTGGTTTGAGATGTGTACATGTCAATACATTTCTATTTAGATTGTAAACAATATTTTAATCAAAAATCTCTTCTTTTATTTCAGGGATGTTTCAACCTGGTTATTGACTTTTTAAATTCAAATATTGGCCTTGTAGGCGGATCTGCAATGGGCATTGCTTTCTTTCCACTTGTGGGAATGCTGCTTTCTTGCTGCTTGGCCAAGAACATCAACAAGGCCAAATACGAGCAGATGGCCTGAGAGCAGGCAGAGGTTGGCCCATCTGCTCCAGCACTTGAAGATCTCTTTGCGCCCCCTCTTCCTGAGTAGTTCTGAAAGGGTATCATCTTTAGTTATTCAAAATTATAATGCCCAGTACATTACTTGAACATAATTTTAATTTCATTCATATTTTCAAACTTTCATTCTGATGTTCTTTTTCAAGAACTTCTGAATGACAGTTTAGTTTGCTGTGTTTGTTTCTTAAGCTGTTTGCAACGTGTTTCAGCTTATATAATCAAACTTCTTTTAATATTATGATAATTTGTATACATCAGAATCTTAATTTTTAAAATTATTTTTATTTTATTATTGCAGCAGAATTAGTAATGCTGGAAAAATGGATACCAAAAGTCTCTGTAAGTGTTTGTGTTCTTAAAGTGAATGTTTTCTTTCAAAGGGCATGTATCCCAGATACTACTCATTATCTCAATTGTGATTATATTCAGAAAATAAATAAAATTCAAAATAATGTAATTCACTCTTCATCACACATGTTTTATGACTGAAAGCTATCTATCGTATTCTATTACATGATATGTACTTGGTATTAGAATTTTGTTCCAACTGACTCACCTGCCACTAGGAAATCTGAGTGGTTTGTAAATGATTATACGCATGTAAATGGTAACATGTTAACTCAGGAAATAATACATTTATCAGCTATATTTGATCTGAACTTCTTGAATGTAGTAAATAAAAAATATTATTTTACAGGAGGATTTTGTAAAAATATAAATAATAATAGTGAATTAATTTAATGATGTATAATTTTCTACTGAACTTTGACAAATGGAAAATGACTGCTATATAAGTAGGATTTTTTTAAAAAACATATTGGTCATATTTATTTTCAATTTCATTTAACTTCTTTTGCTTTGTCATGGAATTCATACACTTTATTATTTAATAATAACCATAATAATATAAAATATTGGTTGATAATTCATCTTTTTACATTCCACAGCAAAGGAACAAATTTTGATGTTCTAGTGTTTTGGCAGGTGGGAATGATGGAAAGTTCATCCTTACCCTTTTTTTCTTCAGAGCATAGATGTTTCTTCATGAATGTGGTTTCTAACTATTTATCTATTCTACTTCTTGCCCATAGCTTGTGAACCAAAAATTAAAGACATGTTCATCAACATGTTCCTGTACTCTTTGAATGTACATTAATTAAAATATGCACATGCTATAATTTCTTTCAAATACTGTACTGTTTGTGAGCTACAGCATTGAAATGAGTGTATGTATTATTCTAATTGTTCAAGCTCTTTGTACAAAATACATCAGAAGTATAAAATTTTGACAAGAAATTTTATACATTATCTGCAAAATGTGTGTGCAAATAGTTATGTAATTCTGGAAGTTTTAGGCTCTATTCTGTGTGCACTCACTTTCTCTTCTTCAGTTGCTTAAGTGTTTGAGAAGAAATGTATTTTGCATTGATATTAAAAATTATATAGATCTAAGAAAATTTTAATTCTTAATTTTTATTTATTTTTGAGAATGAAGTGCATGTATTACAAAATGAAATATATCAAATATCTTTAATTCCCAATTGTTCTTTCCTGTTAAAAATAAACTGTAAAAAAGTAATTCTGTAATTTCATGTAACATGCTATTGAATGTAATAGTTTTGTTTACATTGTAGCATTGTTATTTATACTAGAAATCTCACATTTCTGATTTGAAGAATGACAAGTTTCAGTGAAACTAAGTGTATTGAAATCAGTTGAAAAGTGCTATAGACTACTTTGGAACCAACAGCAGATTACTAATGTGAAATAACACTTTGACTACTATCATAAGGTGCTGTTTCATGAAAATGAACTTTTTCAGATTGAAGAGTAGTGCTCAGAAATACATTTATTTTTATTGAGTTAAAAAAATGAGCGTGTCTGAAGTCTTTTATAAAAATTCTGTATGGTATGCTCTTACAAGTAAGTGGATTGGTTATCATCTCTAATTTAATTTTAAGTTCAAAATAAAATAAATGATCTTGTATTTTATTTTTGGAGGAAGTCTAATGAGTGGGTATTATAAAAATCTAGTATGGGGTTGAGCAACAGAATTAAAATGATGTAAATGGTGTGTTTTAATGATAAGTCTGATTATATTATATTTGATAAAATTTCATTTAGGAGAGTGAATATGAAGATAATGTAAATGGAAAAAATGTATATTTTCCATGTTCAAAGAATTTTCAATGGAAATATTTTTTGCTCTATATTAAGAAGTCATGTAAGTTTTATAATAAGTATAACATAGTTTAATGCTAGGTTGATAAGCCATGTTATGCTGAAGCAAAAAACAGTTTCAAATTTGAAACTAGCTTTGTACTGTGTTAACATATGAAGAGGATGAGCCTTATTAGTGATTGACATTTTTGTTAAGTTTTCAATTGTCAACTATTTGATGCTTCTTGTTTACAATTTTTGCAATTATTTTTTATGTTTTTGAACTTAACTTAGATCAATGATCAAGTCTTTACAATAGGAACTAAAAATTAATTATTGACACAATCATTTTTCAGGCAGTCATTTGAAAAAACTAATAATGAAATTGAATGAATAATTGTATAACCAATGTATACTTAATAATTTCAAGTAGAATTAAATAGTCCGTTGTTATTCTCTGTGAATGACATGTATGACTGCAAAATAGTCTTACTAGCATATCAGTTAAAAAGATTAATAAAAGGTCTTGTTGTAAACAAGATGAGCATCAATGTAATATGCTGTAGTCTTTTTATTTGTTATTTGCACAAATATGTATTTGTAAAAGTTCCTCTATATTTGTATTTTGTGTGGGAAAATAAAAAGTGTAAGCAGTAAATACTGAAATAATTTTAATATGCCTTCAAGCTGTTGTTTCCAAATTATATTCTGTTACAAATCAATAATATCTATTAGAGGAGCAAAATTATTCACAGATTACAAGAGATGAATAGTTTTCGACAGTTTTCAGAACTTGAGTGTTTTAGAAGACCAAATGCATATATATTTTTTTACTACCTTTAGAGTCATAACTAACTCTTGAAAATTTCCACCCAACATAATTACTACATAATTACATAACAGAATTACAGAACTACATAATTACTACAGAATTCTCTGGTTAACAAGCAGTTAAATTTAACACACAACTGTTATTTGTGTAAACTAAGAGATGTTACAGCTGCCCATTCTTTCTTGCATTATTTCAAAATTTGCAATTTTAAAACAATTAAGAGAGTTCAACAAAACTGAGAGTTGCACCATATTTTTAATCATCTTTACAACTAACCAAGAACAAAGTTTAATTAAACAACGTGGAACCATTTTTGAGAAAATTTTGAAAAAGTAATTGTGGCTTCATATAAAATACCCCCAAAATTTAAAATATCCATTTCCAACTTGCAAGACCTCGCGTTGAACTTGGGGAATATCATTTTGAAGTAAATCAGCTGTACGGTTTAGGAGCTAGTAGTGACCACAGACAGTCATTTTACCATCATTTAATTGGTATCAAGGACACACAAAATAGAAATTCTTATGAACATATTAGAGGAAATAATTTACTATCAATAGGAACAAGATTTGTCATCTTTCTTGTCAAAAGGACTCACCAATGACAATATTTCCAGCAACAATTCACTGTTTTTTGGCACAGTATTACAATACTATCTCTTCTTATGAAGTAAGGGAAAGAAAGTAAATAATAAATAACAAAAAAAAATACTCTCATAATCTTATTGTAGTGTGCTAAAAGTTATTTTTATTTGATAGGATTGGCACTAAATGCTGTAATATTTCCTATAAATTCATTTGAATGTACACAATGTAAAAATACAAGCTGGAAATGAATAATATTTAAATGACATATCAGCAAATATATTTTTAATAGTATTTGTTAATGTATCTTAATTTTATTCAAAAACAAACAAACAAATTTGGGACAGTTTCTGAAGGTGAGTGGGCAGCAAAAGTGAAATGTAAGGGAAGGGATGTAGGGGATCTTGCTTTCAGCCTCTCCTGGTAGTGAGATTATTGGGAATACAGACAATATGGTTCTGAAACTTCAAATATATAATTCTTTCATTTAGATTTGTTCTACAGTATTTAGTGTCATTTGAATGAGGTTTTTGGTGTAATTAATATGAGAATTGCTTTTGCAATTTGCAAAATTCTGGCAGGTAAGTAAAGCTATGCATCTCTTATATCTTATTAATGTAGTGTTAAGAAACTTCAAAAAATACCATCATCATTATGTAGAGATGTATTTTAAAATTGGGGACATAAACAGAGGAATAAGTTGGTCACCCCAAAAGATTGTGAAGAGAAAATGCACTTTAACAGATATTAATATAATTTTTTGCAGGAAACATCTTCCAATAACATATACCATTATTTATAGAAAGATTATCATCACCTGAATTATTATTAGTATTACAGTTTAATACTAATTTGATATTTAATAATAATAATAATAATAATAATAATAATAATAATAATAATAATAATAATAATAATAATAAAGTGTTCAAATTAATGTTCTATGGCAGTTGAAATAGTAATGTATTTTGTTTTATTTGTATTATTGTTTTCAGTGTCATCTTAAAGGTTTAATGTCCATTTGAAAATATTAAATGAAATGAAATTATTAACTTTTCTGGTTTACATTTAAAAGAAATTGAATTTGTGATGTATATAGAGAAATTCCAAAAAATATATTTACTTATATGAAACTTAAAAGATAATATGAATACTATCACTAGAGAAAGTAGATTTTAGCAATTACTAAAAATATGTTTGTATGTTTCTCGGTCAGTGCAGTATATTTCTGAATGTTTTCAATCTGTGATAAAATGTGAAATAGTCATGAATGTGCATCATGCAATATCGACAACATCACATAAATATTTGAAAACATTTAATTTGGCAGTGGCCAACAGCAAAGAAGCTGAGCTATTTTGCAGTCAATATAGTTTAATTGTTACCACCAGATGAAATAAGTTAAAGGAAGCTAACATTGTAATATACTCTCAGTTAATCTTCCATTGATTGTCTTACAAGTTCAATTTTTTACAAATTGCAAGACAATCATTCTCCTCTTCTTTGAATAATGTTATTCAGACCCCATAGTTCTGCACAAGACAGGAATCATTTAAAGGATTGAAAATTACTTCGTTAAAAATGTGTCAAAGTGGTGAAATATTGAATTAGTTTCCTTTATTTCCTGATTTTAATGGAAAAATCTAAAAAGTATAAAAATACATTTTTAGCTCAAACACCTCCCTTAATAATAATTTTCTCAACACATAATACAAAATGCTAAATCTTAATTTTTAAAATGCTATAAAATGTTACAGCATTGTTTTCAGAATGTGATTTTAAAAAATTTAAAATGCTAAATTCTACCATCACTATCACTTATGTTCGAAGTACGAATGAAAGAATGCTTTATGAATAGAACTTTTATGGAATTTTCATAAAAATGCAACAATGAGAACTCACAAACAGAGAAACTATGTTAAATAAAACACTTATGTAAAGAAAATAGTTTATTTAATACTTTTGTCTGTAAAAGTGTTATAATATTGACTAAATTAATTAACTGAAAGTGAGTGATTTTTTTTTATTTTATTTTATTTTATTTTTTTAAATATATCATTTCTCAGTCTGTTGCTCAATGAACAAAATATTTGTAGTTTTGAAAGTTGTCTTTATGCTGAAGAATTATTTTAATTTGCAATGAGTTTAAAAATATCAGACACACTAATAATTGTTATGCAAATAAATATTTTTATTAATAAATAATAAGTAAATAATTATACTTTTGTATTAATTATGCTGGTACAAATTGTTGCAAAATAATCACGTGCATAGAATAATCTACTAATTCCTGAGCGAAGAGAAAGATGAAAAAAAAAAACAGTTCTTCTGGACAAGATTCTTCAAATAACTATCAATTTGAAATTCGCGGGAGGGGTTGAAAAACACTTTATTTCCGAAATTGGCGGTTCTAACAAGTTGCCGTCAAAGCCCCCGGGAAATGCACGTATTTAAAAAGTATTGGAAATATAATTATTTTCGATATCGAATCTCTACGCTGCATCAAGTATTAAGTAAATTTTCTCTAGAACAGAGAGTATGCTCTACACTTGGCGAGTTAAGAGACGGAGATGTTATCTAATTCAATTTCAACTAGCGGTGCTAAAACAGCACGTACTTTCTCGCCATTAGTAGAGTCAATGTAGTATTACTCGCGCAACTTTTCTTGAACGATGGATTGAAGAAATGCGGCTAGAGTAGGGGTATTAGTTACGATATCGACCACTAGATTTTATGAAGCAATGCCAATCTTTGGAGAATCAGTCATGCCTTCGCAACTTTCTCATGAGTTCGAGGTATCTACTGTGAAAATATCTTTATCTGATCCGAACATTTCTTTAGATTTTTTGAAGGAAAGTAACGGACAGAACATCTCGTCTCAAAAGAAAATTGTTTCTATTTCGTGCCAGTGAAGATGTGTTTTTGAATGTTATCAGTGCTCGCTGCGAGCTTTTGTTTTCAATTGTTTATTGTGCCAGAGAGGGGGAAGGTTATCGTTCAAGAAAAGTCGCGCGAGTAATACCTACTCGTGTTTCAAAGTTGCCATGCGCTTCATATAGTTTCTTATGTGAAGCTTATAGTTTTTGGCGTACAGCTACAAGCAGTTCAAACCATCAATGAAATAGTTTTCTTAACAACTAAATGGCGCTACAACTACATCGTTATTTTTCTCTTGATAAGTTTTTTTCTTCTGCAATCAATTAAGTATATTTTAAGTTAAGTAATTTCAAATCACAATTTAATTAACATTAACTAATAGTACTTTAAATAAGAAATCAATAAATGTAATTATTCATGAAAAAAGTTTTTTTTATGCTGAGTAATTTGCATTCGTATGCTAAGTAAGATATAGTTCGTAATATCGCCTTCCAACATGATCCAAATTCAGTCAAGGTAGACGATATTTGCATCACTTTATATTTTTAGTTATTTACGTTGACTATTCCACTCATGATATTAAAACCAATAGCGTTTATCTATATATACAAAATGCCCCAAGCACGGCGGTGTGTTATACGCGCACGTGTTCTTGAGCCTAGTAATATCTACCTCTACCAATGCCAACATTAGTTTATGAAGAATAAATGAGGAAACGAGCGTTGTAGACAAAATTTGATAACTGGAAATGTATGCTTCCGGATAATGAAACTATTTGCATCGAAAAACAAACTTCAAAAATGACATCAAGTTATTTTTATCAAAATATCCTAACTCCCCACTCTCGCAACTAGGGAAATGAGGGCTCAAGAAACTGTGCGCAGATAATATCTCTAAAATGCGTTCGTAGGCGTCCGCGGCCGAGATTCAATACATTCTTGGCATTTTGGAACTCTGTTGGACAATTTCAGTCGTGGAATAGTCCTATTAAATACTATTCGTGCTTTGGAAATTCTCAGATAAAGTTAAGATTAAGTGAATAGATATTCAGATTAAGTGATAGTGATAAATTGACACTCATAATAGATGAGATACATTTGCAGACAGTGATGGATTTTAAAGCATATAATATTGTGAGAACTATATCGCACCTCCAATAGAAAAGTGGCACAAGTGCGAAATCGTCATTTTTCAGCTAAAAGCTGATAAGAGGTTACCAAGAGGTACTGCTACTATTCTGAAGCTGATTTTGAATTAGTTAAATTACTGTCCGCTAGAATGTGAATATTTGGTACAATCTATAACGAGTATTACAGAACAACGAAACGTAAAATTGCAATTTCTGAAAAATCAGAAATTTGCACTTGTA